TAAACTTTCTATTGGTATATTGAACTCGAATTTTGACAATTAATTAGATGCAACTTTTAATTTGAAGCTCATTTATAAGCAAAAATATTAAGACGAAGGTGAAAATATTGGTTTTCTGTTTAATTTTGGAATACGTGTAATTAAAGTAGCCCCTATTTATGCGATAAAACAGTATTAATGAAATTATTAAAGAAAAGCTGTCAGATGTGCTGCGTGGTGCAAATGGATTTTCATTTATGTTGTTATTGAGTATAGACATAATTTTAATTGGCCTATTAACGAGGAATCGAATCTTTGAGCTAAGCATTGCCACATACGTGTCGAGCTATGCTGGAAACTCTAGTATAGAAACTACTCTAATTTTATAACGACTTTCATGTTTAAGTTTATGTACACACTTCTTCCCTATTTTACGAAATGATAACACAGATACTTTTTTCATGAAAAGACTTTATGGAATGGCTACCGCATAAACACAGTATGTGTTCAAACAGTTCCTGTAGATTAGTCTGGTTTTTAAGTCCTTAGTATTTGAAAATTTAAATATAATTTAAAAATCCAATCCTTATTTCATTCTTTACCTTATTAGTCTCTGTTTTAAAGCTCATTAATTTTCGGCTTTCTATAGGGGTTGTCGGCTCAATCCCTCACTCCATGGCACTCTTCTTTATGGCCGCTTCACAGGCTGAGCAACATAAACACTTGACAATATGACAATGGAACAGGATGTGCCCAAAGGAGAACTCTAAATGGCCCACACCCCGTTGCTAATTTGAGGAGAAACCAAAAAGTGTTTTGGACCCACTTAATGGTTTGTTTTCGGTTGACAACTTTTCGTCTGGTTGCTGCAGCCTTTTGAGAGCACTTTCCGTTTGTTTGGCTTGTGGTCGCCTAATGATGAACAGGAGAAGGAGCGGGAAAGCGGGAAATGGAGATGACGGGAAAATGGAAACTAACAACTAATTTAAAGCAATTATGTAAAAAGTTTATACTCGAACTTCAGCAGGCGCATTCAAAGTGCTTTCGCCACAAATGTCCGTTCGTAAATTTTAAGTGAGAATAGTTTTAATTAAATTTGTCAAATTATGACGGAAAATTCAATTAGTTCTTGGGGTGGCCATGTTTTTTGCCAATTTGAGTTTAAATTGTATCTGTTGGATAAAGTCAGATAGAAGTTGATAATGAAAATGGTTTGAATGTTCATTTTAAAAGCAAAAAGATTTATAATATAAAATGATATAAGTGCCTTGCATTTTATTGATAAAACACTTTCTCCCTCGAAGGTAACTCCCAATGCGTGTGTCTCAAATCTCATCGGTATTTAGCGTTCGAGATCCCCTTCGTTATGCACTTGTTCAAAAAAAATAACTAATCACAATAATAGTTAGAAAAAAAGATTCTTGGAAATCATTTCATGGGAATTTCTTTCGATTGCTACTCCATTTTTACGCCACGTGCCTGCGCACGCACTTTGATTAGGGCCAACTCAATCCTCCCAATCTACCCCATTTGGCCCAACCCTCTACAGGGAAATTACCACTTGTCACTGTGAGGGCCACCAGCCATTGCACACCACCACCAGGTTGCCCTGCGAAGCCCACCAATATCGGATTCCAGATTGCACAAAACTGAAAAAGGACCTCGGCCAGGACTCAGTCCACTTGACGCGTGCGGATTGTGGGAAGCCCTGCGAGTGTCAAATTTTTATGACTCTGTTTGATTTCTGGTCGGCATAACGCCGTTAATGGAAGGCACTTGTTCAACCCGTCGAAACTAACGAGATTTCCAGCCTCGGGATTTGGATCTACGAGTCCTACAACAATATTTGCCAGAGGATAACATCTGTACGGCAAGTGCAATGTCATCCTAAAGTGTGGGAAATTATCAGGGCTGTTCGGGGTTTTTGTATAACTGATTTTTTATGTATTATATACAGTCGAATTTAAACAAGTGTCGCACTCATAATTTCATATTTGAAATTTTAACTGTTAAGTTATCTCTTTCTGTAACATAAAATTATTGCTTCAAAGTTGAGGTCTTTTTAAAAAAAAAATCAAAGTCGAAAAATAAAGAGAAGATAACTTAATATTTGTTTATAAAAACCACTTAACAAACTAGTTATTACCAAGCTCTATATTTGAAAATAAGTCAAGTTTAATAAGTTAAATTTAACTAAAAACTATGTTTATTGTTAAGACTTTTTTTATCTATTTGCTTTTTTGTTATTTAAGCTTTTATTATTACTACTAAAATTGTAATAAATAAAAATGTAAGCCTATTACAAATAATTAAAAATCACTTTTTGATAATAAAAAAGGTTTTTTTTAGTAAGTTTTTATTTTATTCGGTAAAAAAAAATGTTTAATTTGAAGAACGAACGTTCAATTCTAACAACTTTCCTGTGTAATACAGTTTTTTAAAAAAGTTATCTTTGTTTTCGTAAGACACATACAAATGAAAGTAAAACATTTTTTTCTAATAATCAATCAAAGCTTCTTTTGGTTTTTAAAATTGGAGTAAACATTTTTTAAGGCTGCAACTGGCAGATTTGCGGTCAAATGTCATTTGTAATACTACGCTTCTTTTGTCGTAGACTTCCCAGTATATCCAAATTGTTGCCATTTGTGCTAATAGTTAGAGGTTCATCACATAATCGCATTCACATTGAGGGCTTCGAATTTCAATGTGTTGGCTGCAACACTTTTGCCACAATCCCTGCCAAATAAAGTGCCGTGTTGGGGGAATAGTGATTGGGATTCGTATTCGGATTCAGATCCAGATTCATCTGGCATGGTCTTGTCTGTACTCTCTGCATTGGCTAAATGTGATTTATGCTTCGCTTTATGTAAAAACGTCAGCAGCAATTCCGGCAGCAGAGCACAAATTAACTTCGGCGTGGAGTTGGGCAGTTGGACCTATCCCGGCCGGAAAGTCGAGACGTGTTCCGTAATTCAATATCCACATCTACAGTCACATCCACATCCACATCCACCCGGCGGAAGATGCAGTCGGGCCGGGAGTCAGGGGCTCAAAGGTCGCATTTGGCAGCCAACTCGGTAAGTATTCCCCGAGGATCCGAATAATTTCCTACCCTCGGCACTAAGTATTATTGTGCATTAGAGGACTAATAAACAGGTTCGCAGTTGTCCTCGACTTTCTGCCCTCGCTTGCTCATTCATAGTTTGTCTGGGAGTTTATACCTGCTACGTGATTTGCGGCAATAACTCATCGTGCTCCTTCCCGTGGCAGAAGCTCCTTGCTCAGGGCAAATCATGAGACAAATAAATCAGGAATACTAAATTAATTCACTTTTCTTTTCTAGCTTTTTTAATTAAAGCCTCGAAAGTGGGCTGTGATGTATTCCAGGCCACTTGACAACTTGGGGGTATTTAAAGTTATAATCCAAAAACGCTGGCTGTAAATTAAGGCGTTTTTTGTTGATTTTAAGATGCAATAGATATATTTGCCTCCTCCAACGCAATTTATTGCGAGTATAAAATATAAGGTGCACAGAAATTTTAAAAAGAAAACATGTTATTTTAAATTCCGTAAAGTTATTTTAAGATCAAAGTCGTCTGATACATCTTAGATAATGTTGAATTTAAAAGATCCATACTTCGAAAAGGGCTTTTAAAATAAGTTCGTTACTTCTATCAGACATTAATTAACTACACCCAAAAAAAAATAGTCATAGAAACGAAACTATTGTTACATGAATTCTACACTATTCAGTATAAAAAATTTCTCTATAAGATGAGTATTAAATAAAAACTTCGATAGTATTAAAATACAACTTTCGATGTTATCAATTTTATACTGCCGAGTATAAAATTTAAACTCACTCGGTATACTCATACAGAATCTCCTGGTTTATTTTTTATACTATTTAGTATAACAAAAATACCAAGTAGTATACATAGTATACGGCATGTAGTATACATTTCGTACTACTTCGTATAATAGTTATACTAATTTCTAAGAGTTGCAGTATAAAAATTATACTATTTGGTTTCCTTGTAGTATACATATTTCTCCCAGTAAAAATGCGCTGAATTTTTTTTTTACTTATTATTTTATTATATGTTTTTAATATTATATATTATACTAATATTTTTATAATTAAAATTAGAATTATTTAATTCTTACATAACTAACAGTCGATTTTTTATAAATGGTAGTGGGGGGTCCCTTAAAAATATTTATTTATTTTAAATAATAAAAAAAAAAGTTATTTACAAGTTTAGAGCTTCAATTAAACTAGACACACAAGAATATTTAACATCGAATGGAGTTTTTATATTAAAAACAAAATCCTGTAAGAAAGTCCATATCTTGTTGGACTCCTTTGGGTAGTTAAGGCCGAATACCTGATAGACTTTAAAACAAATATCTAAAGCTACTATAAACGAACTAAATTTGTACAGGCTTTCCCCAAAGCTTACATAAAACTCTGTCAAGTTTTGGATATCTATACCCACAACAATTATAAATGGTTGAATAGGCGTATTTTTCTCCACGTATTTCCTGTTAACCTCTTCCAGTTTATTTTGTCATTTATGTCATTTATGGCTTCAACATGCAAAATAGTGCTGCTCACGCTGTCTTGAATTGTTGCCTTACGACAAAACTTCTCGCTGCCTTGTGTTACCGTATATCGGTAAGAGGGCTTTACAACAGCGTGCAAAAGCATAAATATTATGCAGTCTTTTGAGCCTACAATACAAACATTAAGTTATTAAATTTCAAACAGAAAAATATTATAAAAACTACTTACTTGGAGAAACAGAAAGACTTAATGAGGTAAAGAGATTTTTGTAAAATTTGTCCTTGACGTTAATAGAGTAGTACGATATAAGCTTCGGGACTGTTTCCTCCCACTTTGTTGTTAAACAGTATTTTCGGTTGGGGTACAGAATATTAAAATCGTGTTCCAACTAAAAGTAAAAGTAAAACGTTAATAAATAAAGAAGAATATAAATGGGTTTAAACATATAATAACATTACGAAACATCACAAACAGTTAAAACCCCAAAACTGGGCATCGTGCTTACAAATTTATGTCCCATGGCCTGCTTAAACAAAGGAAACTCCTTAACAATTGCATCCAAACTATTATCTGAACTACAGATGATGTTTTTTCGTAATTCATAGGTAGCGGCCCACAGCTCCATGGAATCCTCCTCGCTGCCAACGTAAAACTTTAATTTTTGGACGCAATCTAACATATCACTGCTTGCTATGAAGATTGTATTATGAGCTGGTTCTGGGCAAATGATTTCTGTGGCTGCCGTCTTTCTTTTGAAATGGTTGTGAAGCCTATTAAATAGGATTCCACCAGGGCTACTCCTCCTAGTCTCTCTGCGTCCAATATAGTATATTTCTTTTTTTTCTGACGGAAATATATCGACTATTTCGTTGGCGAGCCTTTCTATTTCAGCCAACTTAACAGTTGCATATGTATTGTTAAGAGGGTTATAAAAATGGTCAGAAATTAAATGAACTATTTTTCGCCTATTTTGCTGCGATAAAACATTGATTAAACTGTACTGTTCCATAATTTTTTTTCCGGTATTTGACGACAGGAGTATATCCATTGCACTCTTGATTAATAATGAATTAATAAATAAAAATATTATTTAAAAAAAAATAAAATAATAAAATTGTGCTCTTAAAAATTCATAAATTAATACACATAATGAAAACATAATATTATTTTTGTATTAATTTTTGGGCTTATCAAAGCCACTCGGTAAGGGCCAAGTTACAAAATTGTGTCCTTTGCGAAGCACTCGATATAGTTACCTTACAAACACGTGAACCACTTTGCAAATTTATTTCCTGATGCCCTAAGTTGTTTTCTGGCAAGGATATGGGCTGAGCCAAAGTCGGCAGGTGTTTTTTCTGAAACGTAATTAAAAATGTAATCTTTAACATTAAACATTTTTAAAATGATGCTCACATTTTTGGCTTTCCACTCAAAAAGCTTTGCCCTAAATTCGGAACGCAAAGCGGTGTCTTCCCGATTTGGAAAAATAAAATTTAGATCATCATTTTCTATATATTGCAGTTTTTCATAGGTATAGCCACAGTCTATAAATTCATTTTATAATTAAAATAAATTAATATTTACTAGTATATTTAAAGTAACTTACCAATCAAATTTATAAGGCAAACTAGGTCCAAATCATTTTCAGTTACAAATTTTTGTAGTGCGTCCATTATTTGAAAAGCTGAAATAAACTAAATTTGTTTGTTATTGCATTACATTGAAATTTAAAAAACAAGACAATATGTTTACAAGTTTTGGGCCACTCGTACAAATGTACATACATATGTATGTATGTATGTATCTATCGCAAAGCACAACAAAAAAACAAAACAACTGCGCACTTTTCCGTTTTCATCCCCCAGTTTCCATGGTAACAAGTGATTTGCGCATGCGAATATGTAAATATGTACATACACATATATTTATGTATGTAAATATGGAAATGCGACTGCGCAAATCACTTGTTACCATGGAAACTGGGGGATGAAAACGGAAAATAGAGCATTTTAAAGTAAATGTACGATACTTTAATTCCGACTATGATTATTATACGAGATCAATCTGGCCACTCGATTACTCTTACATATTTCCGCACAATGAACCAATAAGGATAAAATATGGTTGCCTTTATTTTTTAATAATTTCACTTTACTTACGTCTTTTTCTCTTCACGAATTTCACCAGAATGCAGGAACCCGATGACGGCAATTAGGCACTAACGCGACAAAAACCACTAAGATGTGGTAACCCGTTTTGAGATCGAACTGTCGCATTCGACCTGGTCTCACACCAAAGACAAAAATCGAAACTCCGGTTTAAATTTTAAACTACAGAGTATTGGCCTTATAATATGTGGTGTTGAATTACTACTACTGAGTATAGGTTTCATATTATTTGGTAATAAATTAATACTGACTTCCTGTATACTGCCTGTAGTTTTTTCTTGAAGCCAGGAGTATTAATTTTAAACTGAAAACTTATTTGTATGTGGTATAAAAATTACACCACATATTAGAATTGTAGACTCTTCGGTATAGAATTGACACTAAAAAGTATAGGCGTTATATTCTTAGGTATTGAATTAATACGTATACTTTAATACTGTCGATAGTTTCTTTTTAATACACGTTTATTAAAATTACACTTTCGGTTTTTTTTTTGGGTGTAAGTTGTCTAAAATGTGATTTTGGGCAATTTTGAATATTTATTTTGGCTTTCGTCTTTAAATTGTTTTATGACTAAGTAAAGTAAACACATCATAGTTCATTCCATTGTGCTCGATTAAGTTGAAACCCTATCCTTTTCATTGACAATGCAATGCGTAGGTTGTTGTGGGTTTTAAAACAAATTTTACAACCTCCGCATGAGTAACTCCTGCGCTTTGTTGCCGTTTATCCATTCGAAGCCGAACCGCCCTAATGCCGACTTATGACACCAAAAATGCTCAATTTTCAGCCGGTGCGCTTCTTCTGAAGGTCGAGGGTGCGAGAGGGAAGAAGGGAGGGCGTGAGGGATATCAACGGGGTTACACTTGAATTAGCCCGGTGGGATTTCGCTTCGGGTCGGGGCGTTTTGTTTGGCTTTGTTTTTGTCAAGGCAAGACGCCTCCCTTCGCTGAATAATCACACAGCGGGAAGGAGCGGACGGAGGCTTGCAACAATTGAGATATTCAATTGGCGACAAGCGCCGCATGCAGCGCAGTACACTGCGAAAATTTACCACCTATGACCCAGGTTACAATATTGAATAATAATCATATTGTATTCCAGTTGCTCGTTGAACTTGCACTTTTGAAGTTTTCCTAAAGATAATTTTCAACAAAATAAAAACACTCCAAAATGTTTCTATTTTTTAGGGTAAATTATTTTTTAGGGCGGAATTCCTCATTTTAAGAAAAAAGTTTCTAAAACAAGTACCATTTTTACTAAAATATAGAAATTCTTTCTTGGATTTAGGGCGAGTTTAGTTTATGGCGACAATTTCTACATTTGAGAAACACTTTCTTGATTCAAGAAAAGTTTTCTTGTTTTGAGAAAAAAATTCCTTGAAAATAGAAATCTTTTCTTGGATTTAGTATAAATAAAGTTTTATGCCAAATTTCTAAAATTTAGGGTTAGTTTTGCTGTGAGTATATACTCATAATGATACTATACTCATAAATGCTTCAATTATTCAAAAAGTCAAAAAAGTTTTATACTATTTCCTATAATACCGAATACTTTATTTTTCTCCCAGTGCAGAAGCCTCCACCAGGGCAATCAGCCACCACCCGATCCCGCTGAGCGAGTGATTAGTTTGGGAAGCTGCCCGATGTTGCGCATCCGTGAATTACAATTGCGGTTTCCTCGCCTGCCGCTGGAGCGGAATCAACGGGGAGGATTAGGGCTGAGGATTGAGCATTGAACTGCCCCCGGAAAATCACTCCAGTTGTGCGTGTTGTTGTTCTTTTGCCCGCCTGCACTTGAAATTGTCAGCAGGTGCTCACTGTTGTGCCTTGTAACAACATTTGCAGTTATAGTGTTACACTTAGTTAGCGATGCAGTTACGGCAATCGGAGGCGGAATCAATTTAACTGCATTTGGCATTTGCCAGTCGAATGTCGAATGTCGATTGTCAATGCGATGGTTCCGATGGCCCTGTGTGTTTGGGCCATTAATAAACATTTCGTCGTCTGTTTGTGTAATAAAAATGCAATTCCCATTAAGTGTCCAGTTGGGGGAGGGGGTGTTCCGCCACCCAGATGACCAGCTGAGGCGTTCGGGGGCAGATGAAATGGATTGTCAGGGGCACTTCGATGAGAGGTCAATTCAATGAGGTTGGGGCCTTAAGTGGAGGCATTTAATACATTTTGATTTTATTCAACAAGTGACACTGTAGTCAAAACCTGGTAATATGGTAAAGATCTTGAAGATCTTGCACTTATTACTGTTCACAGTTTACTTACTTAAATCAAATTAGTCCCATTCAAATTTTCTTGTAGATTCTTAAAAAAAAATTTAATATTAAAAAATTAAATTATTGGGATTCATATAAAGCACAATATTTCAAGACCAGATAATTATTGCAGTTACAAATCGTCTTCTGCGTAAGAATTAGTTGTAAACTTAAGTATTTTTTTCAACGATTATTAATTGACTCAGAAGGGTTGCCCACCATTTTATTTTTTTGATACCTTAAGAAAATAAAAAAAAATTTTCCCACCTTGGGTAACCAATTTTGAGTAATTTTATAATACTTTCCCCAGAAATAAAGGGCAATTAAGATCCATTGTCTTATCCGACGTTCATGTGTTCATCCGCAACGAAACAAAGGCCAGCATAATCGGATTCGGAGATACACGAAAAGGGTGCAAAACTGTTGAAAAGTCTTTAGTCATCGCCCCAAATGTTTTTCGTGTCTCAGAGCAATAATGATGGTGGCAATAAATTCGCATTGAGATCGCCTTGAGTAACTCATTGGCACGCATATGTTTGTATGGAATGTCTTCAAAAGCCAGCCCTTTCGAAAAGAGCTGATCCTGACGGAACCGATTTCCCGCTCATTGTGGGTTGAAAGTACCTTCAGCTAATTGCGTTTAATTCGTTCAAAGAACCCGCATTGTGACTCCATAACTTTTGCTTTTTGTTTTATGCAATCATAAAAACCCTCGCTCAATCAATAACGTAAAGATCAGCTCCGTACTATTTTATACCATTGCGTTCGCTTCGATTCCACTTTCCTCAACTATTGCCTCTGGACGGAAGCTGCTGATTTTGTGACTTTTGCAGATCGTTTAAGATTGATTGATCAATGTTTTATGATCACCAACGCCTCGGTCGACAACTCGCCCTGGGTCGTTTGATCTTGGGGCTTTGCTTTTGTTGCGGGCGGCATGAGCGTTTGTTGATTAAATCGCAGGATGTTATCGATCATTGCATAAATTAACATACGACTTCTCAGTTCGGAATATTCTCTCCGTCAATTTTATATACATTTTTATTTGAAGATCGATAGTGTTAACAACACTTCAAGGGTGCAAAGTTACACCATCAAACATATTTACTAATTTATTTGACCATTCGTGGGAATTTTTATATTCCTGTATTCGTCGAAAATGTTTTAACACGTAGAGGTAAGGGCATTTCCAACCCCAAATAAACCCTATATAAATTCTTGATCAGGATCATTTACAAGCAAAATTTCTGTCTGTTAGTTCGTATGACCGTCGATAGAGAATATTAAAAAAATTAGCCAACTAATTCTATGGCACCCACATTTTTTTTTAATAACAAGCGATAAACCGACAATTTTTAATAAAACATTTAGCTTTTTAGCGATATGGTGTACAAATACGGCTAACATAAATTCTATTATCTCCATCTCTTTTTAATAATTTCAGTCAAAAGTTTGCAACGCAGAGAAGGAGACATTTTCGACCCTATAAAGTATATATATTCTTGATCAGCATCATCAGGAGAGTCGATCTACCTGGCTAGATCTGTCCGTCCGTCCGTCTGTCAGTCCATCTTTACGCAAACTAACCCTTCAGTTTTAAAGCTATCTGCTTGAAACTTTCCCAAAAGTTGTCTTTCTATTGCTGGTAGCATATATGTCGGAAAGAGCCGGATCGGATTACTATATCATATACATTGCTCTCATAAGAACAATCAGTAAAAAAAATTTTAAAAATGAAAACGTTTTTGTTTTTAATTTTTCTTTGTTTTCCTTTGGGATTCGGTAATATTTAAATATTATGGAATGTGGTTTTATTCAAATAAAATCGGAAATCTATATTATATAGCTCCCATAGAAAAATAAAAAAATTTAAAAAAAAGAAAAGAAAGAAAAAATAATTTTTATTTTGCTGTTTTTCTAGTTATCAAAATATTTCATTAATTATTTACTATGTCAGAATTACGCTTTTAGTTTTGTCAAAATCGGACAGCAATATCATATAGCTGACATAGAAACGATGGCAAAATGCAGCGCAAAATCGACATAGCTTCTTGTTTTTCATATTTTCCAAACCATTTCATGTTACTTTTCGTAGCTACCACAAACAGCACGTACCCGACCTTTTTATTTATCTCAATAGAAATTGTCATATGCAAACAAAAAAACGGAGTAGCGAAAAAATAACGTACTTCTTTATGTGAGGTAGACAGAAATATTTCTTATTGATGAAATTGGTTTGGCTACAGCTCAACTCCATTTGCAAAGTAGACAATTTGACGCTGTGCAAATTGCAGACTTGGGAATAGTCCATTTCTAGAGGGAGGAGAGCTCACCGTTGAAATTTATATATTTTTATTGTCAAATTTGATAGCGACACAGCTCCAAGATGAAGATGGAAAATGGCTTGAAAAGTTGGGAAGGTGGCTCGATGGTTTACCCTTGTCTCGTACGTGATATTTTATATTTGCGGCTGGACACGTTGGGGAATAGAAACAAATTCAAGTGGGCTTCACCCACTCATGATTTAATCATATGTATGTGTTTGAATATTCCTGTTTATAATTCTCAGGGATGAAGTTATGATTTTTTAATATTTCTGCATGTGTATTGACTGGTTTTCCTTTATGCCATTTCCTTTACTGTTCGACCTGAGTTTCAAAAAAAGGTGGTCCAACTTAAAATTGACACCTCATTGGCTTTCAAATTATATTAATTGCTTGATAACCAAAATTAAGATTATATAGTGTAATTA